CCTATTCACATACATGCATGCATACAATGTACCAATCATCTTGCATATATCACACAAACAAGAAATCAAACCATCACCTACTTTGAAACCAAGCTTGAATCCTCCTAAGACATTTGAGCCTTCCCTTTCTAGATTCTTTCCGCTTATTCTTGGTCTACAAACAAATAATATAATGAAGGATCAATAATTAAGGTCTAATTTATCCAGATTATAACAAACCCAATAACCCAACACCAAACTCATGATCCTAGGTGCAGCTAGGGCTTTTTTACCACCATCAACTTCAGGCCAAAACCCTCCCCCAATGATAATTACCCAAGAATCAAAGTTCTATGAATCGAAAAGCGGATTAGGGGAGTAAAATCCTTACCTTTAGCACCAAAAGTCATGGAAACTTGTCAAGAAATCTCCCTAAGATATCTCCTAGATCTTAAGAACGAAGTTTGCAGAAAAATAATGAAATTGGGGTCTTTCCCCGACTTAAGTCGCGACTAGCCCGCCTTAGCGGGACTCAACCAACCACAGCGGCTCCGCCCTAGCGGCTTGCACGGAGACAGAGTGTCTGAATTTGAGTTCCAAACCCCCATTTCACAACACACCTTCAACCCTTGAAGTTCAATAATTATCCTTTCACGCCAAGATCAGTTTCTGAAGTCCTATTCGCCAGAATTTGATTCCGTAAAGTCGTAAGGGCTTCTTAACTCCGTAGCTATCCAATCATGTGATCAAACTTACAATTAGATCCCCCATTCATTACCAAATTTTCCTAGACCTCACCTGACTCAGATTTCATCCAAATCTGGACTAGGCTACAATTTTTCAATATTTCTCTTCAAGAGAATATATTACCATCTATATAGGCATGATCTAGAGTTTAGGATAGAGTATCTTCCATGAATCCTAACTGAAAATTGGGTTAGTTTTGTGGAGTCCCACAAAAATTTGATGTCTACTACCTTAATAAGTTATAAAGTCTCATGTATTTTCTACTTCAGGTTAATGCACATAATTAAAAGAGATGACATATTTATATGATTTACTTAACTACCTCATAGACGAACGAACATACAAGAAAATATTTTTCAAAATTTGAATCGAAATTGTCTAATGGAAATATTTTACTAGGAATTGGTGTGTTCAATTGGAATAAAACTTTGTAAGAGTGTCGAAATGAAATATTTAGACTAGTTTAAAGGGTTGACTATGTATTAAATCAGCCTTTATATTCTGAAGGAAATTGGACCGGTCGTATATGATTATATATAATCAATTTATATGCTTCCAAAGATCATGATGTCTTTGACGGACCACTAAGTGTTACTTAACTATAGTCTATAGATATCATGGTGTCTCGATGGTCCACACACGATGCAGTTTCTATACATGAATTGATGATATTAGCCGAGTTTATTTCAGGTGTGGTTGATAGGAACCTTGCCGGCCGAGGACTTATTTTTAAGCCAAAATAAACTTATTTTTTTCTTTATTTTATGGTTGGTGTTACACTAGCAGCATAGTTGTCACGACCCAGACCGTCGTGATTGGCACCCACACTAACCCTCTGGTGGGAGAACCATTACTACAACCCAACTAAGAAACTTAACAAAAATATAGGCATTTAAGGATACGGAAGCAGGATTAAATGTTTAAGAAAATATGAAGTTCCCAGAAACTCTGAAAGTTTTGACAAAATAATTACTAAACAATTGCGGAAAATGATGAGTCCATAATTTGGACTCATTTAGGGCTTGTTTTTAATAAAATTAGTGTCCTCAATTGAATATTTTGTCACCATAACTGATGTAAATGCTTGTATTTCAGGTATTTGAACGTTAGAGACTACGCATGGATACTATGGAGCAAAAAGGAACAAGCCAACCAAAAGAATGAAGAAAAGAAGGCATGAGGATTGCCTAAACTATTGGGCGATTTGCCAATGGCCTCTGGCTCGCCCAACGTCAAATACGCCAAGTGCTGAAGAAGGTAACCACATTAGCGATGAGAAAGTTTAGTCGGCGAATTGCCGAATTACCTTGGTACCACCTAAAGTTACAGAAGGTGGAGAAAAATGAAGAATACTTTAGGCGAAGAGTAGAACCAGTTGGCGTGTCACCGATATGTTCGGCGGAAGACAACCAAATTGCCAAAGGTTGCTGAAGAAGATTTGAACACATGCAGATGGGCGAAACAAAAGGAAAAAGGTGATTCACATAAATGCTCGGCGACTCAGATCTGAATCACCTAAACTCACAATCGTCAAACCAAGAATGAGTAAAAGAAAATTGAAGGCGAAATAATGAACACTCGGCGCATCGCCGACAGGTCGGCGACACCCGACTAACCTCGCCGAATGGTACGTGGCAACCACACTTCAGACTTGTTTAAGTTGATTTTTGGAGATGAAAGAGAGCATTCAGATAAAGAGAGAAGGACGCAATTAGAGAGAAAAACACCATAAAAGGGTTTTGAGTGTGATTTTTATAGAGATTTTCTAAAAAGATTTTGTAATCAATCAAATTTCTAGTTTTTTCCCCGTAAAACCCTAAATTTGTTGCATTTATTGATGGGAAGAAGTATGGGTATTGACTTTCTTTCAATTTTTAATATGAGTGGCTAAAATCCTTCGCTTGGGGTTTTGATCATGAAGCCAATTGTTGAATTTTACTAAGTGAGTAGTGTTGAAATACGAACGGGGAGGTTGATTTGAAGTGGGTCTGGATCATTATGGTGATTTGAAGTTATTTTGCATTATTTGGTGCAACACTTTCCGTGTTGTGAGCTTGCTCGAGAGAGAGAAGTTCAGAACCAAAGTAACGATCATAGTCCGACCTACCCAAAACAAAATGACATACCGTTCGTATCAACATTTACCTTCTAAAATGAAATTTGACAATTGGCTGGTCAGTTCCCCAAGTTTTACTCTAGTATTTGTTTACTTCGTAATTATTCATGAATTTGGGCTTGAAGTTGATAGATACTTCATAATCCTAAAGGTATAAGGGAAATATCGTTGAAAAGACTGTATCAAATCTTAACCTTTGAATTTGAAAGAAAGCCTACTCCATTGGGACTCGACCCCAACCCTTGATTGGATTACTTTACTATTGTACGATCGTAGACACTTGAATTGGAAGTTGTGTCTTGATTACGCAAACATCAAAATGGCACCGCTGCCGGGGAGTAGTGTTACTTAGAATTCTTTGATCGAAGGTTTGACAATCTCAAATTTATTGGTTGTAATTGATTTAGTTTTGGCTCCTTTGTGCACGTATTGGCCGAACTACATTAAAGTGAACATGAGTGATGAAGAAATGAATGACAGTCAAGCAGGTCATCAAGACGGCATTGATGACATCAATAGTGTCTATAACCCGGATTAGTCGGGTGGAAGGGGCGTAATTTGCATCCCACAAACTGATGGAAATGCGATGTTTGAAGTCACTAGCACAACTATCCACCTTCTCCAAATTAGGGGACTTTATGGAGGGCTAGATCACGAAGACCCGCATGAACATGTAAGAAACTTTACAGAAGTTTGCAGTCCTTTCTCATTAAAGGGAGTGTCGCAAGAGTCAATCCGGTTGCGGCTATTCCCGTTGTCTTTAAAAGGAGAAGCTAATAAGTGGTTAACCGAGTTACCAAATAAATCCATCACATCATGGGAGGAGCTGGTTGTAGTATTTAACACAAGATTTTTTCCTCCATCAAGAATGATGAAACTTAGAGATGAAATTCAAGGTTTCAAGCGAAGGGAAGGGGAAACACTCCATGAAACATGGGTGAGATTCAAGAAACTCCTACTTAAATGCCCAACCCATGGACTACTAAATGATTTGTTACTTCAATATTTTTACCGGAGTCTTGATTTGGTTAATAAATGAGTGGCTGACCAGTTGATACGAGGAGGAATAATGTTGCAATCATTTGAGGTGGATTCATTTCTTCTAGATGACATGACTAGAATAAATCAAGTGTGGTATACCAAAGAGGATCACGTCTCTCCATTTCATTTTAGATTAACACAAGAGCAACTGGATAAAGAGAAAGAGAGGGATGAAAACATCAAGAAGATGTTGACCCAAATGGAACTTCTACAGGAGCATATAAAGGGAACATGTGGAGTGTTCAAAGTTGAGGGTTCGTTCTCAAGCTATTCAAAGCCTGGGGAGAATCAAGGTTGGAACTTCCAAAAGATGTGAGGAGGGTTTCTACCCACGCTATTGGCAGCGAGGTGGAAACCAAGGTTGAAACCATCATAAGGAAGTCGAGCAAAGGAGGTGCCATCAAGATTTGTCTGAACAATATGAGCACTGGAGAAGAGAAGATGAATATGAAGAGAACCACACTCATTCAAGTGAAAGCCCAAAATCAAGGGGGAGTGCAAATAGCCCTCGCGTGAATGATTTGCTTACACGCATTCTTGACAAAGTTGAAGGCTCGGATGATTTATTGAAAGGGATGAAAGATGACTTCTCATCCTTGAACAATAAAGTAAACTCACACGCAGATAAAATCAAAATCCTTGAATGTCAAATGGGTTTACTTACAATGTAACTGAAACAAATGATGGAGGCAGATGATGAAGACAGAGGGCTGGCCATTGTTACTCAGAGCGGAAAAGAAGTAAAAGGTGATCTGATAGGAAATGAGGAAGAGCATATACAAAATGAAGAAAAATATATGGAGGATGAAGAAATAACCATCCCACAATACAACACAATAGGGCCACACTGTGATGTGGAAAAACAAAAGTCATGCCCAAAAGTCAAGCAACCTTTACCCAAACTACATCTTCCATTTCCACAACGCCTCAAGATGAAGAATGAGGATGAAAAATTCAAGAAATTTTTATCGGTATTCAAGACCTTATCATTTAATCTCCCTCTAGTTGAAGCATTATTGGAAATGCCCGGTTACGTCAAATTCATGAAGGAGTTAGTCACAAAAAAAGGAGCTTGGATTTTGAGACGATCGAAGTCTCTCATAGTTGTAGTGCGATTATGACAAAGGAGTTGATCGGAAAGAAAGATGACCCTGAAGCATTCACCATTTCGTGTACCATAGGCATGCTCAAGTTCGCAAAAGCCTTATGTGATCTAGGAGCAAGTATTAATCTAATGCCCTATGTTATTCATAAACAACTCGGGTTGGGTGAACCGCAGGTGACATCTGTGAGACTCTTGATGGCTGACAGATCGACCAAGCATTCGGTGGGGATACTTTATGATATTTTGGTTAAGGTCGACAGGTTCATCTTTTCAGCCGATTTTGTCATACTCGACTGTGACATAGACACCGAAATTCCTATAATCTTGGGAAGGCCATTTTTGGAAACTGGGAGAGCGTTGGTGGATGTCGAGAGTGGGGAGCTGAAATTTTGGGTTAATGATGATGAAGTCACCTTTGATGTGTGCAAATCAATGAAACACCCCAGTGACATTCATGTAATCTCAACTGATGATATGATTGACGAGGTTGTGGCTAGTGTGAGCCATCTGATGTTTAGGAAAGAACCTTTGAGGTTGTGTGGGCCAACGAAATAGAGTTTGAAGTTCAAAGCCAAGATGAAGTGGTAGCCGCGTTTTCAAGTATGGAAAGATTCACAAAGACTCCAATGAAGCTGGACATCGACTTAAAGAATCAAGAGAGCCCTCCCGCCAAACCGTCAACCGAAGAACCACCTAATCTCAAACTTAAGGTATTACCTTCACACCTTCGGTATGCTTTCTTAGGCGAGAATAACACCTTGCCGGTGATTATTGCAGCCAACTTACTTGATTGGCAAGTAAAATTGCTCCTTGAAGTACTGAAAAGGCGTATAAAAGCCATCAGCTGGACTATCGCTAATATAGTGGGCATTCCTCCAGGCATTTGAACACACAAAATTAAGCTTGATAGTGATTGTAAACCGAGTGTTGAGCATCAGCGAAGAATGAACCCGCCAATGTAAGAGGTGGTGATAAAGGAAATAATAAAGTGGTTGGACGCGGGAGAGATCTACCCGATTGTAGATAGCAAATGGGTCAGTTTAGTTCAATGCGTACCAAAAAAATGAGGAGTAACGGTTGTCCCTAATGACAAGGGGGAAATTGTACCTATGCACCCTGTGATAGGATGGAGAGTTTGCATGGACTACCGAAAACTAAACTCATGGACTGAAAATGATCATTTCCCTATGCCCTTTATGGATCAAATGCTTGACCGACTATCCGATATAGGGTGGTATTGCTTTTTGGATGGGTACTCTGGCTATAACCAAATCTGTATTACTCTGGAGGATCAAGACAAAACAACCTTCACATGCCCATATAGAACTTTCACCTTCAAACAAATGCCATTCGTATTGTGTAATACCCCGGCTACGTTCCAGCGTTGCATGCTATCCATATTTGCTGACATAGTGGAAGACTCTATGGATGTATTTATGGATGATTTCTCCGTTGTGGGTGACACATTTGTAGAATGCTTATAGCACTTAGGCCAAGTTCTCCAAAGATGTGTGGAGACCAATTTAGTCCTGAATTGGGAAAAGTGTCATTTCATGGTTAAGGAAGGAATTGTGCTTGGTCACAAAGTATCACAAAAGGGGCTGAAAGTCGACAGAGCAAAAGTCGAAGTAATTGAGAAAATACCGCAACCGATTTCAGTAAAGGGGGTTCGGAGTTTTTTGGGATATGCCGAATTTTATAAGAGATTCATCAAAGATTTCTCAAAGATTGCACTTTCTCTATCCAAACTTTTGGAAAAAGAGGTGAAATTTCACTTTAATGATGCTTGTATGGTAGCTTTTAACTGCCTGAAAGAAAAACTGATTTCCACTCCAATCATCATTAGTCCTGATTGGTCAGAGACATTTGAAGTATTATGCGATGCAAGTGGCATGGCACTGGGCATAGTGTTGGGACAGAAATGAAACAAGCTCTTTCATCCTATTTACTACGCAAGTAGAACTTTAAACAATGCTCAACATAACTACACAATTACCGAGCAAGAGCTACTTGCAGTGGTTTATGCATTTGAGAAGTTTCGCGCATACTTTCTGGGAATAAAAGTAATTATTCACTCTGATCATGTTGCATTGCGTTATCTAATGGCAAAGAAAGACTCCAAACCGAGATTGATAAGGTGGGTGCTTTTATTTCACGAGTTCAATTTTGAAGTCAAAGATATAAGGGGTTGTGAAAATTAAGTGGCAGATCACTTGTCATGATTGGAAGACAGGGAGACTGACGAGTTGGAGGTCGACTTTAAAGATGTCTTTCCTGATGAACATGTATTCACAGTAACTCTCGCACAATCCCCTTGGTATGCTATTTTGCAAATTATTTGGTGTGTGGATTAATGCTGGATGAACTGAACTTCTACCAACAAAAGAAATTCTTGTTTGATGTTAAGAAATACATGTTAGACGAGCCATATTTGTTTAGAGAGTGTGCTGACCACATCATCAGAAGATGTGTTCCGGAAGATGAGGCTAGGGAGATCCTGCATGCGTGTCACGCTTCGCCAGTAGGAGGGAATCATGGTGGTGTTCGGACAGCAGCTAAGGTGCTACAAAGTGGGTACTACTGTCCGTCTCTATACGTATGCATATGAGTTTGTTAAGAGGTGCCCACAATGTCAAAAGCAATGTGGTGTATCAAAAAGGCACGAATTGCCTCGGACACCCATTTTGGAAGTGGAGCTATATGATGTATGGGGGATCGATTTCATGGGCCCATTTGTGAGCTCATTTGGGAACAAATACATCTTGGTGGCCATGGATTATGTGTCCAAATAGGTAGAAGTTGTTGCCCTTCCAAACAACGAAGGAAAAAGTGTCGTCTAATTCTTGAAGCGCTACATTTTTGCAAGGTTTGGGACTCCGAGAGACATTATTAGCAATGGGGTATCTCACTTTTGTAATAAATAGTTCTCAGTTGCACTAAATAAGTATGGGGTTAAGCACAAAGTATCAACACCGTACCATCCCCAAACAAGTGGCCAAGTTGAAGTGTCAAATAGGGAGATCAAAAGCATTTTGGCTAAAATAATGAATGCAAATAGAACGGATTGGTCTCGAAAGTTGGATGACGCACTATGGGCGTATCACACCGCCTACAAAACTCCAATCGGTATGTCACCATATCAGTTAGTTTTTGGGAAGTTTTGCCATTTACCAGTCGAGCTGGAGCATAAAGCAATGTGGGCATTGAAGGCTCTAAATTTGGACTGGACAAAAAACTTCAAAAGAGAGTAGAGCAGCTAAACGAGTTGGACGAATTCAGGTTTAAAGCTTACGAAAGTTCAGCTCCCTACAAGGAAAAGATGAAGAAATGGCATGATGCTAAAATACTTAAGAGAGAGTTTCAGGTGGCAGATTGGGTGTTACTATACAACTCCCGACTGAGGTTATTTCCCGGAAAACTCAAATCAAAGTAGTCAGGACCATTTAAAGTGAAGAAAGTGTTCTCAAATGGCTCCATAGAAGTTGAAGGGCAGGAAGGACCTGCATTTAAGGTGAATGGGCAGCGTTTGAAGTTATACTTTGGTGAATGCCAGGAGATTTCTCTGATTGAAGTGGTGTACATGGAACATGCTTGAAAGCATTTCCACGTCGTTCCACGACATTAACTAAGGCTCTTCTTGGGAGGCAACCCAATTTTACTGCTTTAAATAATGTGTGTTGATATTGCAGGAGTGGGTTCAATGAACAAGACAAAACACTATTGGCGAATCGCCAAATCACTTCGGCGAGCACGATGCAGTTCGCCTTATGGCTTTCGAAAAAAGGGGATGAGATACTGGAGCATTCGGTGGGACATCTTTACTAGTCGGCGAATCGCCGACTTGTTTTGGCGACTCGATTTTCCTCGCCCTTCCTAACAAGCGCATCTGAAGTTCATTATGCGAATCGCAAAACGGTTCAGCGTTCTTCTACATTTTCACCGATCTGCCTTACATAGAAATGCAATCTACTGGAACAAAGGGCGATTTGCCTACCATAAGGCTATTTGTCGAATCTTTCGGTGACCTTTTCACTGCTTCGCCAACTGGGCATTTAGTGAAGATTTCTCGATACCCTGCTCTACTTATGTACACACTAGATTGCTTTTATATCTTGCTGTTATTTATATTAAATTTCGGTAATTATCTGCTCTCCACCCACATTGAGGACAATGTGAACAATTTAAGTTGGGGGTGTTGTGTGACCTTCTTCTTGTTTGTTTTAAAGGTTCTTGTTTCAAAAACCCCGTACTAGTGTTAAAAGAAGTTGTTCTCTTGAAAATTTGAGTATCAATCTTGATCAATACCGTTGACTTGAATAGTGCTCATAATCGAACAAACATGAATGTGTGGCTACAATGAAGCCAAATGAAGTTGCATAGATAATATGTGAACTCTTTGCATCTCGTTTTTACTAGCCATTGATCAAATCGACTATCTTGTGATGATCGTTGCACACTAGCGAAAGTGTGGAGTTTTGTTTGACTTTTACTGTCAATGCCTAGTGTGATAAGCTTACATGTGAACTATGCATGATGGATCCTAGAATTTGCCATGTTGGTCCAATCAACTAAGTGATGTTATCTCTTGATATGATCTTAGGCAACTTCAAAGAGTGTGAGCCAATTTGACATACACCTCTTTTGTGGCCTACCTTGTAAGTGTGTGAACCTCTTTTGAAGACCCCTCGAGCCTTACCTTCTTTGGAAGAAACTTGATGAAAACAATGACCTTTCTTTATCCATCACCCATAATCCTCATGAAGTTGTGTTTTGTTTGAATAGTCAACTTAGGCCAAAAGCCTAAGTTGGGGGTGTGGTGAAAAGAGAAGGCAAATCAAAAATACAAGAAGTCCCTTCTACCCATGATTTTGTGAAAAATTGGAACCCCTTCATAAAAAATAAAAAAAATAAAAAAAGTTGTGAAATAAAGTGTATGAAAATACAAAAAAATGGGGTTTCCAACTATCCATGGGAAGTGAATAATGGAACTACTTGTAAGCACAAACGAGAATGATGAAGGAAAGGAAGTGTTGTTCACACCGCATTTCATGAGGACTATAACCATTGAGCCTAAATGACCATACCTTTGCACGCAGCCTCATTACAAGCCGTAAAAAAACCTTTTTGATCTTGAGTGAGCTTAAGCAAGTGTTGATTGGAAAATACGGGCAAACCTATGGGTGAAATCGTGCATTGTATTCATCTTTATGAGTGTGAGCGTTGCAGTTGATTCCAAAACTTTAAATTTTGAACCATTATGTGGGAAGATGGAATCATTCTTTGTGTGAGGGCATTTGAACACCTTAGTTGAGCTTGAACTTGTATTTGAAGCAAGTATTGTGAGCTTGCGATTCTTTGATATTGGTGAGTCGCAACTTGAAACTTTGAGTGCACATTTGATCTTTGCATGAGTAAATTTAGTCTTGATTATGTGCATTCATGATTGAGTCTTGTGTAGCATTGTTCGAGACATCCTTTTTTGAACTGTTGAACTTGAGTGTGCTCGAGGACAAGCAAATGCTTAAGTTGGGGGTGTTGATGAGTCCATAATTTAGACTCGTTTAGGGCTTGTTTTTATAAAATTAGTTTCCTCAATTGCATATTTTGTCGCCATAAATGATGTAAATGCTTGAATTTCAGGTATTTGAACATTAGAGACAACGCATGGATACTATGGAGAAAAAAGGAACAAGACAACCAAAAGAATGAAGAAAAGAAGGATTGAGGATCGCCCAAACCATTGGGCGATTCGCCAATGGCCTCGGCCTCTCCCAACGTCAAATGCGCCAAGTGCTGAAAGAGATAACCACGTTGGCGATGGGAAAGTTTAGTCGGCGAATCGCCGAATTACCTTGACACCGTCTAAAGTTACAGAAGGAGGAGCAAA